TCTTCTAGAATTTTTCATAAGAGTCGATCATTACAGTATTTAGTATTTCCAAATTCGGTAAAAACCCTGACTGCACTATGCTGTTAAAAGTAAATTGGCCAATAAAAAGAGAGTCCGAAAATTTAAAAAAGCAGGTTTTGTCTGTGATTGGTCGACCCATAGAGATTGATTGGATAATTGCATGATTTTATTGATATATATAAAATGTATAAAATGTAGATTTTACCAAAATTAGAAATTTTAGGGAAAATCAAGATTTATATGGAACGTGTAACGTTGATCACAATGAACAAAAAATTTAATGTGTAATAAATATATATACATGAGAGTTTATTCTTATATTATCACTACCACTACCACCATCATATTATTCTTGTTCTACTGCTACTGCTGCTTTTAATTTGCCATTATTATATTTGATGCCATTACTAAGGATGCCAGCTACAACTTTTGATGATGGTTGCTACCACCTTTGTATCATATAAAAATGATTGCAACTGCTGGTTGCAACCGCCTTTACAACCATTTTGTTTCCTTTTTTGGGTTGCAACATGGAGCACTACAATCAAACTTGCAAAAAAATAAAATAAGCTTATGGTTGATTGTCTTTGAATAGGGGAAAAAACATTTGATATGGTACAATTTTATCAGAAAAATCTTCATTAGAGGTATCCTGGAATCAAATTAAAGGAATAATATCTGCTAAATTGAGGTCTGCTAAATCGAGATTCACTGTGTACCGCTTCTGATATGAATATTGTTTTACCAATCCTACTTGCACCACTTACTAAAGGGATTATTAGCTCTTTTTTTGTAGTCACTGCTGCTTTCCATTGTTATATATATTAGAATGAATTTCAAGCAAAGTTCTCATTTGGTTATCTCTATTAACTAGTTTAAACCAAGGTTGGCCATGATACTGGTCCATTGATGGTCCATTGGATCTATTGGTGTAACAATTTGACCATATTTAGTATTTTATTAGTAGCAATGGACCAGACCAAAACTCATTGGTCTCAATGGACCCAGTCAGTTGCCAATCCTGGTTTAAACTGCCATCAAGCTCTCTAACAATAATTACATTTTCATTTTGATATTATGAACATGTGAAAATGGTTTATTATTAGGATTACCCTCTCAGATATACTATAATTTTTCATGTTCATTTATAAATTATGCCATGTGACTTTTACATTAGATAAACATGTGCTAACGAGAATATGCATACTCTGTCTATTTGCATACAGTTGCATACAAACTCATATACTCCCAAAAGTATGCAAATAGACAGGTATGACTGTATTATATATTTATTTTTGTTTTACCACCTCATCAAAAAAGCCTTTTCCTGGACTACTTAAACTTTTTAACACTACTAATAGCCTTCCAAAATAACCAAATTCCCTTTTAGTCATTGTAATCAACAATACTTCCCCTTGTCCATGTAGCAGTATAAATTGAACTAAATCCACCTTCAGTTAATTTTGTTACTTCTATGAATTGCTCAAAAGGTATCCATTCTAAAATATAAGTTGGCAGAGATGATTTCATTTGGTATTGTTGAAGTAAGTTATCAACTATGTTATTTCCAGATGTCCAAGTTGTGAAAAAACTCTGTAATTGTAAACTAATATGACCTTCACAGAGCATCTTGTCAATTTACACTTGTTACATTCTTTTGGTTTGCCTAATTTATTTTTTGCATTTCCTAATTAGAAGTTTCTTGGTTTTTTTTTTTTGACCAATTAAAAAAAAAAATCTTTTCATCAAATTAGCTACTGCATTACTACGCATTTCATGATTGATTTTAACTACAAATTCCCTTCTTTCCGGTAATAATAATTTAATATATGACATTATATAAAATATAAACCTTTGACTTGTAGTTTTAATGGAGTTTTTTTGAGTAATAACGGTTACATTTTCTTTGCAGAGAACTGAATAGCGTATAACAAACATAAAAAATTTCATTATTTAAACATCAACAAAAATTCATCATTGATTCATTGTGATTCTAACGCTTCAATGCTAAAGAATTTTAGCATTCTTCTTTTTCTTTGTTTAATATTTTGTCATTTTTAAAACTTCAAAATTAAAACTTACAAACACTTGCACCTAAACCTGTATCATGTACTATATAAAAGTCGTTCTACGTATCAATATTGACCAACCTATATTCAGACACTAAAGACAGCTTAAATACATTATTAATTGCGTATTACTATTACGCGTAGTTAATTTCAAAGCCAAAGCTCGAAAAAAAACATTAACGCAGTTCGTATGTATGTAAAGACGATTTATTTTTTCATTTTATATAATGCAATAGAATAGTTTTAATTTGTAAAAAAAAGAAGAGGTGTTTTATTGTAATACTAATAATTAGTTTCACACAATTTTATTCATCTCCGGGGCATAGATTTTACATAATTCAGATTGCTTGCTTGTATCAAACATTTTTACTTACGTCAAGTGTTTTTAATTACGTCAAGTGGTTTTACTTTGGTCAAAATTGTCAAAATAGCCCTACCCTTAGTCAATACTTTAGTTATGTCAATGATTAAAGTCAGAAACATCACTGGTCAAAAGTCACACTGCCCTATTCCTTTATATTGGGACTTGTGTTAGTCCTGGTAATAGTGATTGTGGAAAAAAAATATTCAAAATTTGCCTCGAATGGAAAGATCATCAAATTTTTTATTATAATCTATTTTTTAAAAAATTCAACATGCATTCAACATTATATCTATTTTCTAAACAAATCAACAAAAGATTACAACATATTGAAAAGGCGTCAAGAGGTTTGTTAGGTGGTATAAAAGCAAAATACAAATATCCAATTCTTGATAAACCAAAAAACGATCTTACACAACAACAACCACAAAAAAAGAAAAGGCCAAAGAAAGAACCAAAGAAAAACCTCCATGGATGGTTATGCATCATTACAAACAAGCGATGAGTGGTTTATATGCAGGCGAAACAATTAAATTTGGTGATCAGGTTTCGAAATTTGGCAATAGATCTCGTCGCTCCTTTAAACCAAATGTCCAAAAGGTCAAGTTATATTCTGTGGCTCTTGATGAACGTATAAGAATCAAATGTACTACAACAGCTCTAAAACATATTGATTTAAAAGGTGGTTTGGATAGATATTTATTGACAATGAAGGATGACAAGTTAGGTAAAAAAATGTATGACTTGAAACTTAAAATTATGGATAGACTTGAAGAAGAAAAGAAAAGGCTAGCGGAATTAGATGGGAGATTATTGGATAATGATGACAATTAGGATGAAAGGATGCATGCAATTAAAGCTTTGTTATAATTTGATTATAATTTGTAATATTGAATTATTTCGAAAATAATAAAATTTATATTATATATATATAATATTTTTTCACATATCAATATCTATGCAAGATACATATTAATTTAGTAATCAATATTTAATCCAAAAAAGAAGATTTACTGCTGGTTGAAGATATCTGGAAAATACTAGTTTGGATTAATATACGTGTTGAATTGGGAGATTTCACAAGTTAACAGGGTAGTTCAATATAAAAAGCATATTTAAAGTCCTTAGAATCAGTTTAATAAGTTCATCATGCAGCATCTTCATATGGTTTTTATTGAAAGATAACACCGCAAAATACTTAACATAGAAATTAAATACTTGAGAATTATCCATGAATAACAAGAAAACAACAGTTGTTATTCAGAATGTGTTGATAATTCGACCAACTAACAACAAAATGTACCATAGGCATTTAATATCATAGAGAACCAGTATAATGTATCATATAACGCACGCCCAATAATTATAACATACTAAGGATTTGGAAAAAAAATTTCAGAAAAGAATAATATGTGAACTATATTAATTGAAACGACTAATCTTAAAAAAAAAAAAAAAAAGGGATTATCTTCTTAACAAAATGTACACTATAAGAGTGATTCTAGATGAAGACAAGTTTTTTCATAGAAGCACACCTGAAGGAGCATAGACGCCTTGATATATGTATCACTTCATGCCTAGGATGTCAATAATATTGTCATACTCGGTAATTGTAGTAACATATTAGATAGTTGATTTTTCGATTGGGAGTATTGAAACTATTTGTTAGCAGTAGAAGAAATAACGATCTAGATCAATGGTAAATACGATCCGTGAGCGAATTTAATTAGAAAGGAGATAATTAGAGAGTGTGTATATTCATTAAATTGGTAAAAGTTCATTCTATCAAATTGAATTCCTGAAATGATGATTATGTATTTTGATCATGATTTTAGCAACTTCCCTAATTCGCAAGAAAAGTATAAAGGAGCCTTCCTTCTTGGACGAAACATTAAAATAATACAATTATAGATGGGCGTCTAAATTGTTTTTGGGGTTGTCTACAATCAAAATAGTATTTAGACAAAAATGCCTAAATGTCTAAATTAATATAAATAGTAATGATTTGCTTTAAATACAACTAAAAGTCACGTGTATATACATCAAAATCCACAAAGTTCAGTAAATTATCCAATAAAAAATCCGATTTCAGCATTTTAGACATGATTTGTCTAAATGTCTAAATTAATTTATTAGTTTAGACACCCATCTATAAAATGCGATTTAAAAAAAAAAAACGATTAGCATAGAAAAAAATTAATGGTCTGTTAAAAAAAGGATTACTTCAGCCCATCGACTATTTACTGATATGGGTAACAAAAAAAGCAATTATCATTAAAAGCATTTACGGAATATGGAATGAATATCTTCTCACGAAAAGTAAAACATCAAAATGTTCATCACCATTTTAGTCCAAGAATTTATTACAATAATAATAATAATAGCAGCAGTAACAAGTTTCCTTATTTATAAAAATGATGAATTTTTTTTACGATTTTACTAATTTATTTCTATATTAACGGATAATTTTTTGGAAAAAAAATCTCCGCATTATTATTATCTGCATGAAAAGGATAAGAATGTGTAACTATGTAACTGTTAAAATATTAAAAAGATATATATATTATTAATCAATCAATAAATAAATAATAAATAATAAATAATAAACAATTTATTAAAATTCTATTGAAAGAAAATATTTTTCTTCTTGAAATAAAAAAAAACTCGAGAATTAATTTATATATAATATAATAATAATAATGGGTGCTGCTAATAATAATGACACTGGTTCTAAAGATTGGCTTAAAGAAAGAGCTGCTATATGTAAGTGTAAAATTAGATATTTGGTGAAAATTGAACATCTAGCTGGTCAAAGATTTCCAAACAAAATATAATAATAATTTTAAAATTTATTTTACTCCATCAAATAAATTCATAAAATAATATTATTGTATATAAATAAATTTAATCTATATTCTTCCTTTTTTAAAAAATAAATAATTAAAAAGCTGCCGCCCATCGAAGACAAAAGACTGACCCGGCAGCATCAAAACTTGTTGACCAATTACACAAAGAACGCATTCAAGGAAATTCCGAAGAAACAGGTAAATTATTATTATTAAAGCATCATTAATTGTGAAAAAAGTGATGGCAGAAGTTAATTGTATTATATATATACATCGGTGGCGAATTAATTAATTGATTTGTTGATCGATTGGTTACGATTATATAGTTGACGAGGAATATGAAGATCTTGATGCAATTACTAGTGTACCACCTCCTGAAGAAATAGTTGTCAAAGGTAATTATTTATTAGCTAATTAGTTAACTTGATTAATTAATTGGTAGTAGTATTAATAGCGTTTTATATGTGTATAAAAAATTAATAAAAGTTTTTTTATTGGGTGTTTTTTTGGTTGGGTGAAAAAGTTGCACCAAAAGAAAATACAACCACTACACTTCATGGCAAAGAGACTAGTGAAGATGTTTATCAGTCATTTATGAAATCAGTTTTGGAAGGGGGATTAGCCACGGAATCTTCATTGGAATTGTCATTTGATTTAAAACCTGAAGACATTAAAACGAAAGATCTGTCTGAAGGTGAGGAGGTCGAAGAAGAGGATGAGAATGAAAGTGAAGGTGATGGCGAGAAAGAAGATGAAAATAACGAATCAATTAAAATTGAAAGTAAAAATGAAGATGAAGGCGAGAATGAAGATGAAAACGACGAATCAATCAAGATTGAAAGTAAAAATGAAGATGAAGGCGAGAAAGAAGAGAAAGAAGATGAAAGTAAAGATGTTGAGATTAATAATGGTTAGTGGAAAATATTATTTAAAGCATTCACAAACTTTTAAATTTTGTCCATCTTTACTAATTAAATAAAATTATATATTTCACTAAATAATATTAATCAATCAATAAATAAGAAACAAAACCACCACCACCATCATCTAATGATTTATCAGAGATAGAATCTGAAAATAAAGAAATAAATAATAATAAGATTGATGATCAAAATGATTGAATGAAATAAGAAAGAGGGAGGGGGAGAAATATTGTAAATTTATTATATTATATTATATTATATTTTTGTCAAATATTAATTATACAACTATTATTATTATTCATTATTTTAGAAAAGAGAATAAATAAATATTTAAGTCTTTATATATGTTGTGCGTGAAAATGAAATCTATGTGAATTTGCAATTCACATATGTGAAATTCAAATTAGCCAATCAGAATTTCATATCCAAACACCCACCCAAAATTTCAATTATAAATTTCGATTTCACATAGTTTCAATTTCACATACAACATATATATAGTATATAGTATATAATTTATTATTATTGAAATATTTATCATCATCTAAAAATAAAATTATTTATGACGATCATTTGAAATTTTAGATCAAATTTTATCATCATTGTAAATAAAAATGTTACAAGCTCAGGGAATCCTTATATTTAAACTCGTTTCAAGTTGGCGAATTCATGAATTGTATTCAAAGAAAAAAGATGCACTTACACCTAATACTGTTGACATAATTGGGAACATTGATAACATTATAGATTTTTTAAAAAATTTTCATAATGTAAAAATAATTATTATTGGTTAGAACGCGTAATTTTATTATTACTTATGAAGAATTACTCGTTCTTTTTTGTTTATTTAGCAACTTGTTAAATGTAATACAGCTAGTGACTGTATTTTTAGATTTCCAAAAGGTGAAAGTTTATTAAAAGATTTAGCGGTATATTTCAATTTTGTAGTTTTTTCTTTAATAATAATAATCTAACAAAGGAATCATTTTATATATTAATAATATTAATATATATCTACAATTCTACACTGGAGTTTAATCAGTTAAATAGGATTTTAATTCTTCACCCTGTTGCATGTCAATTAATTGTAAAATGCGTGTTAGAATTTTCTAAATGCTTGAACAATGTTCCGAATTTTATTCAAGGAAATAACTCAAGAAATTGGTGCGCAGATAGAATTAAAAGTATTATTCAATCTCATAATGATGTAGATGAAATATCAGACAACTTTTCATATTATAATGAAATTGGATTGTATGAATTCCATGGGCTTGTAGTCAAAGAATTTATTACAACAATAAAAGAATTCTTGAAAGTCATAGAGAATTCATCAGTTGAATTACCTGTAAGTTAGGACAAGACATAATTAACTAATTATTTATTAATTGATATTTACTCTTATATGATATAATATTAACAATCTTTTATTATTAGAATAAATGTTTTATAAAAATTTCACAACAATGTTTGCCACTTTTAAATGATTTGAATATGGTAGAATTGATAGATCGTATAATAGTTGTGGCAACTAAAAATTATTTAAATTATGAAACATGCCTTGAAAATAATAATAATGATGAACAATTTTTATTATTTTCTGATGTTTTTATAGAAAAATTGATCTTTATCAATACTACATTTTATGAGCACCTTTCTATCGATGCAAAGGATGGGTAAAGCAGTTCCTTTATCAAAGATATTGAGAGTATTTGGTTAAATTCACATACATACATATATATTTATTCATTTATAATTGTATAGATTATGGGCAACATGTCCAATTACTGTAGAAAATGAGGTAAAATGCTTATTATATATACATACTTAACAATAACAATTATTTACAAATCTATTATTATTAATCGTATATGTCTATTTTTTTCTTTTTGTAAGATTATGAACATTTTTGGTCAATTACTTTTCCCAATTGATAGTAATTACATGAATCCACATTATATCAAAGGTTTCTTAAAATCAAACATTATAATTCAAAGAATGTTTAAACATCCTGAAATATTTCATCAATGTTTATATGTGCTGATGAAATTGATATTGGAAATACCTGATCAGAGGATACTAAGATTAATTGAATTAGTTATTCAGTTAATATTTGATGAAAATATTGAATTCATAGTTAATAAATCAAACATAAAGGTACAAAAAAATTTTTTTAAGGAACTCTCCATTCCATAATTCTCCAACACTTCACCTCTAATCTTTTACTAATACCTAAATAGTGTAAATTTCTAAGCAAATTAATAGATATGATAACCATACTTAAATCTAATCCTGATTTGAACTCACTTGAAGAATTAAACAGAATTAGAAAGCATTCATTTACTATAGAAGAGTCATCGTATTATTTAAATCATAAAAGACAAGTATGGATAATCTTTAAATCTTGTGTAAAATGGAATTATTGGACTATAAATGAAATTTTGGACATCAATAAATATTCCAATATTGAGGAAGTAAGTTTTCAGCACAACTTTAATTATACAAATAGTGTTAGTTATTATTATGAATAATGATGGTATTTTTTTATTTGCAGTTGAAAGAATTCATTTCATATTTAGGTTGGCTGATTCTTCCAATAGATGAAGAGGACAAAGAAGGATTAATTAATCTAATTATTACGTTAACTGATATTATTATAAGAATAAGAGGTGCGAGTTAACTGTCAATAATAATGGCAATCAATTGATGATTATTCAATAATAATTATATAAATAGTAAAAATATTTATATAAATTTTTTTTTTTAGATTATTTATTAAATTCAGCAAGAGACATTTCATTAATAATTAAATTAATGAGTCAACACAAAAATTTATTTGAAAACAATTCATTATTACTATACTTAATATTAGGAATCTTAAAATATTCAGAAACAAATTTTATTGAATCATTAGAATCAATTGTAAGTATTTCAAATCATAATTGAACACTTGTTTGAGTAACTTTGAGTGATGATTGGTCAAGAGTATTTTTTACTAATTAATTATCTGGATAATTACTTTCTCAGATTATTTACTATTTACCAAATATAATTGTCAATGACCAAAATGATAACAAGAAGAACAACAATTTATATATTTTAACAAATATTTTAGATTATATTCATAATAATCAAAGTTTGTTGTATAATAATAATATTGAAATCTCAAATTATTTAGAATCATATTATAACTTATTTATAAGTGAAAAATAAAATATTATTATTAAATTATTTTGGTTAAGTTGATTGTTCTTTCCCTCTTCTATTATATTATATTTAAAAAAAAAAAAATTATAACTACATAAAAATAATAATAATGAATTAATGATTTATTAAAAATTTTGATACAATTTTAATGACAATTAATATACAAGTTTTGATTAATTAATTATTATTGTTATTATTATATTCTTTATCCAAAGTATTTTCCTATACCTGTAGTGAATAATCTTCCTACAAGACTTGGACTTTCTGATGCTGCCATAGATGCCAAATTACTTGCCCATTTCTTTTTTGCATCTTAGTACAATTAGGAGCCATTGTTTTAATAATCCAAAAAATCCAAAAAATATCATATCACTATTGGTGCATAAAGTGAAATCCAAAATATATGAGAATCTGTTGGATTAACTGGTCTCGATGGTTAAACGAATAAAGATTATGTATATAATTAATCAAATATGCTATATATTCACACAAAACTCTTTCATAATCATTCATAATTTTGTTTTCCTACATCATGACTTTCAAATCCACATGCTTGATCCATCCTCTTGAATATCGTTCCGCCATCTTAATCCTACCAACAATCTACTGGTTACATTTTTAACTGTCCAAAAATCAAACGATAAACATAATACGCAAAGAATAAATATCAATGACAAAATAAGTTCCAAAAAGATATATGATAATTGCTAATCCACGAAAGAAAAGGCGAAAAAATAATGCAATTGGATGGCTACAAAAAAAAAACAAAAATATATATATATAATTTTATAACCGGAAATATGTTTTGTTCATAGCACGTACCTAGATTGATCCCAGATACTCCAACTTGGTGCTGCCGGTGTTGATGTTTATAATGTGTTATTGGTTTGTGAAGAGATTGTATTCCCTCTAACTTTTGTTTTTTGTCCATCATCACTAATTCCTATTTCAACGTCTGGTTTCTAAATGTGCATCAGATAATAAATATGCAATCGATTCTTCCTTTTTTTTGAAATTATCATCATTTTTATTTTAGAAAATTTAAAAACCCAGACTTAATGGGATTGTTATCACTGTTATTATTATTTTAACACGTACCATAATTTTTAATGAATCGCAAACTAAAGAGTTATTATACCCCTGTAAAAAATTTATTCCGTGATTACGCTCAGTGTTTTTCCGTTATTAGATTCAGTGTTTTTTCCGTTTATATTAATAATAATAATATAAATTTCCGTGTTTCTCCATAAAGGTACCATGTTCACGGAACCTTAACTCAGTTTTTTCATAAAAAACGGAGGTTTCACTGAAACACGAATTGATGATAGTCAGGATACCCATCGACCATTCATTCTCTGAGAAATACTGGACGAACATCGGGTATTATGTGCATTTTATTTAACCATCTAATTACTGGATTTTTTTTATACTGATTTGTTAGTTATTATTTTTTTTTTAGGACTTTTAGCACATTCGAAACTCAAGGAACCGCTTACCTCTGTACCAATGTTCGCCTCCTATCCATTATATTATATGATTTTTTTTATTGTAGAGTATTTTGTTTATAAATTATAAACTTGTTCTATAAAAAAATTTTATACTGAAAATATACTGAAAACACATGGAAAATACACAAAATAATTAACACGGCATGATAAACACTAATACTAACTACTAATGCAATTTGTTATTGATCGGATTAAATTCCGATGGTTTTCTTATATACCTAGAAGAGTATTCTCATATAAACAATTATTATTTGCTTGCTTTATCAGTTATTAATAAAAAAAATGAAAAGTTTAAATTTGTCAGCATAATAATAAGTTATTATTAATAAAAAGGACTATTTTCATTTGCAACTTTATCAGTTAATTAATTATTTCACCCTATAAAAAAATAAAATACGGAAGCGGTACGGAATAAGATACTAATACGGAATAGGTACGGAATGCAAAAAAAGTATAAAAATTACGGAGATTTGTTTTTGCTACTACTACATTAACTGTTACCATACTTTTTATACGTTTATCCGCACATTTTATACGTCTTTTCCGTACTTTTTTGCATTCCGTACCTATTCCGTATTAGTATCTTATTTTTTATAGCTAATAAGGTCACATTTCCGTTTTAATTCCACATTTACAAGTTACTATAAATGACATCATGGAAAAAATCTGGATTGCTTATTTGCCAATTGCTGCTTTTATGAAAAAAAACTGAATTTCAGAGGTGGCTCATATTTGTGCCTTAGAAAAGAAACAACAAAAAATATTCCTTTGCATTTTGGTAATGTAAGTAAAACTGGGAATCCAATGTTGCATTGAAGTACTGAAAAACAAATCTGATGAAGAAACATTTTTACAAGAAATTATACAATCCATTCATGTCCTTTTACCCACCTAGAATCATATACCTTCCCAGATCAGCAGATAAGTCTAGTCCATAGATAATATAATGTGAAGGTAATTTAATTTCAACACAATCAATATTCTGGATAATTATATATATACAGTGTATTTCAAAAAAACTGGAAAATTATTGTTGTTGGAAAATCTTTGTAACCTTACTAAAAAACAACCAAACTTGTTTCAAATAAAGTTTAAACAAAGCTTTGCTTTTAAAGTTATTTTAAATCCTTTTCAAATTGAATCTGATGTTTAGTTTTTGAGTAATTAGCTTTTAACATGTACAATAGGGTTGAATTTTACTTTTTTTCTTGCAATCACATTATTAAAATAAAAGGGATACATCTACCTGACAAACACATCATATTGCGAGCATTTCATTCTTAAATATCTATTTCAATATTAATAAGTTGAACGAAATAGATGATTTTGCATAGAAGAGTTAATTGTTGGAGAAAATGGATTCACAGTTGAAATCACATGATTCACTACATTTATCTACTGGTTTTTTCAAAACGCTTGATAACCAGTTATCAAATAATGTCAAAATTTTCAAGGTATGGGATAATTCATTATAAAAAAAAGAGCTTTAACTCCTGGTTTGTTTCTAATTAGTTTAATTTGATCAAAAAAACAATATGTTGGTTTATAATTAAAACTAATAGTGAAAGCATTTTGTATTAAAGTATGGTTAATAAAAAGTTCTGTTTTTAATCTATTGGATGGGTCAAATCAATGCAATAGTTGTTCCACAATGATTGATTTAATTTTTCCAGTTTTTTTAAAACACACTGTATATTTATGTTAAAACTTTTATTTCCAAGTTATTAGTCATGTATCAGGAAGTTATTACATTTGAGAAATTTTGAGATAATGAAATAAATTTTGTAATTCTGTTGCAGATTTTATACATTTTTTTTTGTTCATAACACTAAAAATTTTACTATATTATTTTACATACATATATACAGTATACAGTCAAAGCTCGTTAAGGGTAGGAGGAATCACGTGTTAATTTAATAGTAAATCATGGCTCAATTTTTTTTGCCTGCCGGGTACAATGTTGATCAATATTTTTATGAAATATTAATATACATTAAAATTTCCTATAATAAAAATTAAAAAAAAAAAATTATATATATATATATATATATTTATTTATTTATAAATAATAATCCCAAGAATGAGAATATATCATTTCTTCAGCACCCTCAGCAATATCTATAATTTTGGAATTTGTCAATGACTTATACCAACTGACCATTTTTGAATTGTAAAAATAAAATAAAATAAGAAGCCTTCATGTAGAAATAATTACTAGTAGATAACAATTTATCAAATATTTATTGAACTTTATTATTTTATGAGAATTTTTTGCCAAATAAGTATTTTATATTATGGAATGTGTAACTTTTACTAGGAAATGAGCAGGTGCTTACTAAGAAATGAGCAGGTGTTTACTATGGAAGAAGTCATGTTTATTTTGAAACGCGTTAAGTTTTTTGAAGAAATTTACAAATTTTTATTAAGAAGTTTTGCTTGAAGTACTTTCAAATAGTTAAGAAACACCAAAATTAGATATAAATAATTTTGAAGTTGTTTCAATGCGCCTTGCCGTAGTTTTACTTTTAAGACAATTACTAATTTGGGAAAACTCGAATTTTTGAAAAAATTGAGCCCGGATTTACTATTAAATTAACACGTGATTCCCCCTACCCTTAACAAATCTAATTAATGTCATAATGTAAATCCATATATGAGGGGCGCTCTAGGAAAAAGGGGGTCCGAGCTATTTTTAAAATTTAATTCCAATTCGCCAGAAACGGAAAGAAATTACATAATGCAGATCGGGGCAAAATTTCTCGATTTTATAATAAAATAAATTTTATCACGTAACTTTATCTCCTGCTGGCACAAAACCTTATTATCAAGTATTACCTTCATGCATAATAAAAAACATTAGTATAATCTATTAATATTTTTGTTGTTAAAAAACTATGTGCTAATTTTTTACCAATAAAGTATGAATTCAAAACCGGCTCAGGATTATGGGTAAAAAAAATTGCAATATTCGAAGCATTCAACTAAAAAAAAAATAGAAAATTCACTTGGAAAAACGTAAATAAAGATTTTTATTCATTATTTTGTTGTCTCTTTGCCATTGCCTTCTTATGTTGACTAGAATACCTACTAATCCAATTTTCAATTGTTTTCAACTTTGGAATGTCATTTACTTCCAACTCACCTGTTTCCACATTATTTTGGAGTTCTTCGAACATTTCTTTAGCTGTATATCGTTCACTTTTATTTATGTCACCACTATGGAAAAAAGTTTTCAACAATTCTATCACTTTATCAGACATATGTTTTCCACCACCTTTTTTCCC